GGATATTTATTAAACCCAACTCTTCATTACAACTTTTTAATTCAGAAAAAAATTAAATACAAAATAACAAGTTGAAAAAAATTAAATAGAACCTATAACTATAAATAGAAAAACAAATATTTTATATTTATTTTTAAAATTTATTTTAAAATAATCATCTCGTAATTTGCTAAAAAATATTGTTATAAATATATTTTTATAATTTATATTTTTATAATTATATATATATATATATATATATTTTTTTTGTCACAAATTAATGGAAATACATGCATTAAAATGTCTATCTATATTTTTTTATAATTAATTTAGTTTAAAAAATAAATTTTATTGTATTTTCTCTCTTCACCTTTAAAATATATTAAATTTTTCATTAATTACATACCATATCATTTTTTTATCATATATTTTACTATTTTTGAATATAAATTATAATAACTATTTTCTTATAATAAATTTATTTTACTCTCTCTCGTAACATAAAAAATAATCTTTATTATAGTTTTATTGATAGTCTACGTGTCTATATTTTTTTATAAAAAAAATTAAAATATTATTTTATTTTCTCTTTTCACTCTTTAAATATATCTATTTTTTTATTTTTGTTCCTTCTCATGTTTTTATTATTTTTTGAAATATATAAATTATAAAAATTATTTTTTCTCTAATTATAATATTTTTATTTTTTCTAATAGTATCAAAATAATTATTACTAAAAAATTTATATATAATTATAGATAATAAAATAAAAAATTTACAGAAACTCTTAACTAAGGTAAGATAATCCACAAACAACCGAAAAACAAAATTATTATTAAAAAGTAAATAACATGTTCTTCCCTTTCAAGAGTACATATTGAGGTAAATTAAAACTTTTATAGTTCAAAACTGGGAGTAATTATAATTCAACTAGTCAACAAATAAAAGAATGTATTTTAAAAAATAGTTAAATATATTAATAATATTACCTTTTACAACAATCACTTTTAATTCCTTAATCATTGTTTTTTAAGATCATTAACATTTTCTTTATAATTTATATTGATGTTTACAAAATATCTTTCATATTACTACTAGTATGTAACAACTATTATACTTTAATATATTTATCTCTAAATAAAAATGTTTTATTTAGATAAAAATCTAAATTATTTAAAAGTTAAATATTTAATAAAACACAAAACTGAAATAGAACATATATAATTCAACTTCCAAATTAACACTTTAATATTTTGCTGATGCCATCATGTATAAACATGAATCATACAAAATTATTTTTGATATATTATAGGTGTAAAATCTTTAGGCATATAATCATTTGAAATCACTAAAAATAATTATTAAAAACATAATTTTTAGTTGAGTTTAATTTTTATTATTATGAATATAAGGAAATGTATATTATTAATTAATGAGAAACAACAATATATAAATAAATTTTAAAATAATTAATATAAAAATAAATAACCTTGTCATTCACAAATATTTTGAAAACCTAAGTTATGCAGAGTAATAAATAGGCATTCAAATTTGTTTTATATATATATATATATATATATATATATATATATATATATATTATAGTTAGAATTATATATAGAGAGAGAGAGGTGGTAATAAAAATATTATAAAAAATGATGATGAAAATTTCAAAGAACACAATATATATTATAATAATTATAATAATAATAATATTATTATTATTATTATTATAATAATAAGTATAAATAGAGTGTTATAATAATAATATTATAAATATTTTTAATATATATATAAATAAAAAAATTAAATATTTAGTTTATATATATATATATATATTAATATAAATATAATAAATTAAAATATATATTTAATTAATAATTATTATAAATTATAAAATTATAAATATTTATTTATATATAAAAATATATAATAAAATTAATTTATTATAAATATAATTTTCTTTTTAAAAATAATATAGATGACGAAAATCCGAAATTCAACAAACGAAAATAGAATTTTAATTTCTAAATTCAACAAATATCTAAAACAAAAATGAGAACAACGGGTTTCGGGGAGGCACGTCCCCTCCTTTGCCATGCCTCACTAAACATTTTAAATAGTTTTAAATAATTAGACCAGTAATAAGATGAAAATAAAAGTAAATAAATAAATAAATGAAAACTGCCGTATTCATTTAATATCCTTATTATAAATTATTTTAAAAATAAAATAAAATAAAAATAAATAACAATGGCAATCATATATACTTAATATAAAATTAGGTTAAACCAAGTTCATAACTCTCGTCTCCTCTAATTTTAAATAAATATCCAACTCTCTAAAAACATTCATATGTTTTCTTAAATTTTAATAAATATTTATTTTTTATATTTTTATTAAATATTACGTATCTTATTTATATTTTTTTTTTACAAATTGGCTTTTATTCTTATATTCTATTTATAATTTTTTACTTTTGTTTACAAAATATCTTTAATTTTTTATTTTAAAATATAAATAAATATTTATTTGATATAATAAATCAGTGTTAATTTATTAAAAATCATGATGAATATTTATTTTAAAAAGTGATGAATGTTATTTAATTTTAAGATAATAATTTATTAATTGATAATTAATTTTAAATATATAATATTATATTGAAATACAGTTTTTTTGTACGCAAAGTTTGAATGAAACTGTTCTATTTAAAAGAATGTATTTGAAAAATCTAATTAAAAGTGGAATATTTTGATTTGTTTTTTTTATTGATTTCTATTTATTTGTTTTTATTTTGAACTCTCCAATTATACTTATGCTATAAAACCTTCTAATAGCTTTTAAAACTAAAATTTGAAAACAACTTTTCAACACAATATCAAAGATCATTAATCCATTGTTAGTGAAAAGAATGATATTTTACTCCTCTAGATTCAAGATAAACCTCCATAAGAATCCAAACCATAAACTTCCAAAATAATGTCACATATAAATCAGTTATGTTACATCTTTTTCAAATGCACACAAATTAAGAGTATTCCACTATTTCATTTGCATGACACAGTTAATCAGTTATGAGTTCTAGATCACCCCAAGGAACAGCCAATCTAGAAAAAACCATGGCAGGATGGCACACAAACAGAGAGAGTGAGACATTTGCAGAGAGAAAACTTGTGAGCTGTTAAGCATGAATACAGAGTGTGAATATCAAAGTTTCTTAAAGACTGAATCTTAGTTGGTTTGACGTTATCGATCTTTTATGAGTTTCATTATATTGTGTGCCAAGGCTTTAACCATTTTCTTAGGGTTGTTGACTTCGGACAAATAAATAATTTCACTGAATATTCATATGTGACTTTTCTTTTTTTTAATCTAGAAAATCTATGCAATCGTAATTCCGATTATTAACAATAACAAAACAAGTGAGGAAACTCGTATTAGGATAGACAAAACCTTCATCCATAGGTGGTGTTATATTCCAGGAATAAAAAAATTATAATAAAAAATATATTCTCTATGAAGTTTTCACCAAAAATTTAACATAAAATACAACTTTTCTAACCATATTTTCAATGAAAATTATTTATAATAATTATTCATGAAAAATGTTTTTTTTAATATGAATCTCGTATTATATAAATTACTCAAAGTTAAAATAAATTGGAGAGATTTATTTAAAACATCCCAATAAAAATTACTTATTATTAGGATTCATTTACAAAATGTCAATAGTTTTGATTATTACATATTATCTAATATTTAACTTATTTGGATTGTTGAATATTTAGAAACTCCATCGTTAGTGCTTATTTAATGTATATATTTAATATTAAAATTAAATATATTTAAAAAAAATACGTGTAATAGTGATTAAATTGTCCTCTTAGAATTAATAATTTAAATTTATTTAAATAAAATATTTTTAAAATAAATAATCAAGTCAAAATAGTTTAAATTTAACCAAACATAAATTTTTATATTTTTGCAGAAACACAACTTCACAGTATTTTGAGAGAAACGCCTTATGAAGCAATGGTAGGAGGTAAAACTTGCCACAATCAATTTTTGAATTTTAGCACTATCTCCAATAGCCACTTTGTTCATGAGATGATTGACAGATGGATGAGAATGAAAGAAAGAGATGGTCAATTTAGTTGAGAAAATAAAGAGAGGGGAAGATTAAAAGGAAAAGAAAGAAGTAGAAAACTATGAAAAATAAGTGGAAATGATGGTGATTATGTGGGAAAGAAAATATAATTTTTTTTTTAAAATATAAAACAAAAGGTAATATAATATGTCTTTATTTTTAAATATAGTTAACAAGATAATTGATTATGTGGTGTTTCTTTTCAATTTTATGCATTTTCTTCTCATTTTTATATGGAAAATGTTTACTCAATCTTGATTCATGTCTTATTCTCAATTTTATTTAGATAAATTGTTATTTTTTATTAAATTGCACTATATAAGTAAAATATAAATCGCAATTTACAAATAAATTTATGAAATTGAATTATACTCATATATTTTAAGACGGTATATAATGAGGTGCAATGAAATATAAACTTTAAAAAAATTGTAAAAAAAAACATTTTATTTAATTTGATTTGATTTGATTTAATATTGTTATAATTTAATGATTCATAGTATGTTTAACGGAGAGAAAAGAAGAAAGTAGAAAAGAAAAAATATAAATAAGAATAAGAAATAAAATAATAAATAAATGCTTTTTAGTATCAGAATGTCAAATCAAAGTAATAATAATAATATTTATCATTGGTGACTATAAGCTTGTTAATTTTGTAGTCCCGACGTATTAATGTTATATTATTTGAATAATTTGCATATGATATTGATAAATTCTTAAGAACAGTACAAACTTATTCCTTTGGTTAATTTTGAAGGAGATCATACAATACTTGTGAGTTCATAGTTTATTAAAGATTGTGATGTTAAAAATAACACATTATTAAACACAAGATTTTCATTATAGAACTCTCTTGGTCTTCCAGAGGAAGTTAAATTTGAATGCCACCGTTGTCTGCATCACCACAATAAGCATTGCGCGCAATCTTCCTCGCGTCTTTGTCACAACCGTGGAAACCACCATTCTGGGAACACTCCTTAGAACCTTGCTGTTTCTTGCACAACACATCACACAGAAAGTCTGTCCACACAGTCTCATAACCAGGCATTTTCGCATATCCAGGAAAGTAATTGATATCAACAATAAGATAAAGATTCTTGCGTTCAGAATCCCTAATGACATCGAAATTAAACAGGCTCAGCTTCATCACACGCCTCAACTCCCCAGCTATCTCAGTGAGGAAATCCGGGGGAGGCATCTCAGCATCATCCAAATGCATCTTCTTATAATACTTTTCGTCTGTTCTCTCGTTGCTCCCCAGATTCGAAACTTGCGAAAACGCCCACAAATCCTGCGAAACCCTCATCAACTCCTCCTCTCCGACGTCCGGTAGCGACTTTCGCTTCACACATGTCACGCGCTCCCCGACCACGTACACCTTGAAGATCACGCCGCCGTGGTTCACGAACTCCTGCACCACCAGCGGCGGCTTCAGAGAATTCAAACCCTGGTGGTTGTAAACTAGCGCCATTTTGTGCGACTTGGCACTGCCGTCAGCCACCAGAGGCTTCGCGATCACCGGAGACTTAAGAGCCTTGCAGATCTGCCCCTCGAACAGCGTCTCCTTGTCGTATATCACAATCTGGTTCGGAATCCCAACGGTCTCGACCCGGTCATCGATTTTCAACTCCGGCACGGCTTGCAGCATCGAAATCCGGTTGTGGAGCCTCTCAATGAATTCAGGCGAGTCAAGAATGACGGCATTGGGATAATTTTTGGTGAACTCACTCAGCTGATTCCTCCAATCATCCCCGGAGAGCTTGTGGAGGACGCAATCGAACGGACCTTGTTCCATTAGGTTCCGGTTCGGTTCGATCCTGACCAGGTCTATCCCGCGGGACCTTGCTAGATTCACGAAGGAGTCTCTGATGAAGCTGTTTTGCTTCTTCGGCAACAACGCGTACCCTACTCGGAACCGTTTATCTTCAGCCATTATTGTAAAGATAAGAATGAATAATGACTGGAAAGGGAGAAGGGAAAGGATATGTAAGTGAGTGATATATACATACACACACAAAAGCATAGCTTAGCGGAGGGTGAGTGAGGGATGATAAATGACCCTGTGAGTTTGAAAGAAGATAATTGAACCCACGTGGTGACCTTGTTAGGCTCAATGAAGCGAGTGACTGCTGGAGAAAAATTGTATTGCAGTTTAACAAGAATGGCAATGGATAGAAGAAGTTAAAGGGTGATAAGATTTTGGTAATGTTTGGTGAGAGGGGATATGCATAGATAATAATAGACTTAAGATATACCTTCTTTTCCTTTTACATGTAATTACAAATCATATATAGTTACTATAAAATTCAAATAATTGTATACTTTTTTTTCCAACTAATTACTTCACTTTTTCATTAAAACTTTAATATTAAAATACACAACCAGTAACATTGAAATACCTGTTAGTATTATGGTGCTTGATTTAGTCCCACATCGATTAAGATTGTGAGATGAGGTTCTCTATTTTGTTATATAAGCAACCCTATGTAAAGTTTGAGATACACACAGAAATAAAAATACTTCCTAGTGTAGTCGTGGACGTAGGCATACATATTTTAGCCGAACCACGTTAAAATTCTTGTGTCGTTTATTTTTCTCTCCTTTATTCTTTCCTTTATTATTGTCTTGTTCCTAACAATTGGTATCAAGAGCCAATTTTCTTAGTATGCTTCGTGGTTGCAGCTTTGTCCGATCTTCCACATCGAAAAGATTTGGTCTTTTTCTTGGGAATCTCAGTTTAGAGAAGCAGTGGGAGCTTTCTTCGAAAGCGATGAGAGCAATGGCATTGGAAGAAGGAAAGGTGAGGATCGAGAAGTTCGATGGCGGTGACTTCGGGTTCGGAAGATGCGAGATGGAAGATTATCTCGTATCGAAGAAGTTGTATCTACCCTTGACAGGCGTGAAGCCAACCGACATGGAGCGATCGGAATGGGAGTTGTTAGATCGGCAGACGCTTGGTGTGATCCGGCTGACATTAGCCAAGAATGTTGCGTTCAACATCATGAACGAGAAGACAACCGTAGATTTGATGCAGGCGTTGTCAAATATGTATGAGAAGCCCTCTGCGACCAATAAAGTGCATTTGATTCGCAGGCTAGTCAACCTCAAAATGGGTGAAGGTAACTCGGTTACTAATCATATTAGTGAATTTAATGCAATTATTGCGCAGTTAACATCGAGTGCAGATAATATTTGATGATGAAGTGAAAGCATTAATTTTATTATCATCTCTACCTGGAAAGTTGGGGTGCAACTGTCATCGCAGCTTAGTAATTCCGTAAGCAATAACAAGTTGAAGCTTGATAACATCCGTGACTTGATCTTAAGCGAAGATGTTCGCAGGAAAAATTCGAGTAGAATCTTTCGGTTCTAATTCGGGTTCAAGCATTGAGTGCTGAAACTAGAGGAAGAAGTCGCTGAAAGGTCGTAATCAAGGCCGAGGCAGATCAAAATCCGGAGGGAGATCACAAGCAAAAGTCCGGAATGATATCACTTGTTGGAATTGTCGGAAAAAGGGCCACTTTTCAAATCAGTGTAGGGCTCCAAAGAAGGACAACAACAACAACAAGAAGCAAGATGATGATCAATCAAGCAAATGCAAGAATCGATGAAGTTGAAGATGCACTCGTTATGTAGTTTAGATAATTCTATTGACTCATGGATTATGGACTCAGGTGCGTCATTTCATACTACACCTTCCTTAGAACTATTATCTAACTATGTTTCTGGAAAGTTTGGGAAGGTCTACCTTGCAGATGGAAAATCTCTTGATATCATAGGAAGAGGTGATATTAACATCGGAACCTCTAATGGAAACGTGTGGACTTTGAATAATGTCGGACATATTCCAACCTTAAAGAGAAACTTAATATCTATAGGGCGGTTGGATGATGAGGGACATTACACCACTTTTGGAGATGGACATTGAAAGGTAATGAAAGGTAATCTTGTTGTTGCTCGTGGAAAGAAGCAAGGATCTCTCTACATGATTACAGATGAGGATATGATATCGATTGCGAAGTTGACAACAATTCCTCCTTATGGCATCGAGGCTTGGGCATATGAGTGAGAAAGGAATGAAGCTCATGATATCAAAAGGTAAAATACCTAACGTGAAGCATGTTGACGTTGGACCTTGCGAACATTGTATCTTTGGAAAGCAGAAAAAGGTTAGCTTCTCCAAAACAAGTAAGTCGTCTAAAGTTGAAAGACTAGAACTAGTGCATACGGATGTTTGGGGGCCGGCTTCAGTGAAATCCCTTGGAGGTTCACAATATTATGTAACCTTCATTGATGACTCTACAAGAAAGGTATGGGTTTATTTTCTTAAAAATAAATCGATGTGTTTTCTCGTGTTTAAAAGGTGGAAAAAGGAGGTTGAGACTCAAACAGGTTTAAAGGTCAAATGTTTGAAGTCTCGATAATGGTGGAGAATATGACAAGTAGTCAATTCAAGGAGTTTTGTTCGGAGAATGGGATCAGAATGATCAAGACAGTTCCAGGAACACCGAACAAAACGGTGTGGCGTAAAGAATGAACGTAACCTTGAATGAGAGAGCAAGATGTATGAGAATCCAGTCAGGATTACCCAAGGTATTTTGGGCGGATGCAATAAGCACGATGAGCCTATCTCATAAACAGAGGACCATCAGTTCCTTTAGACTATAAGTTACCCGAAGAAGTATGGTCTGGAAAAGAGGTAAATCTTTCACATCCGAAAGTTTTTGGTTGTGCTTCATATGTTATGTTAGACTCTAATAGTAGAGATAAATTGGACCCTAAGGCAAAACGTTGTTATTTCATTGGTTATGGATCTGACATGTTTGGCTACGGGTTTTGGGATGACCAAAACAAGAAAATTATCGAAGTAGAAATGTTACTTTTAATGAAAACATGTTCTATAGAGACAGGATTGCAGAATCCGCAAATGTAAATAAACAACTAGAGCAAGTATCATTAGAAGAAATTTCGGAAAGTGATGTAGTCAACCGAAGGCGAGAATATACAAGTAGAGCCTATGTCGAGCCTCGAGACAGAACTCGAACAAATAGTAGAGTCAGCAACTCCCGAAATCTTGGTTAGAAGATCTAGCGGAACAATTGTAGCACCACAAAGGTATTCCCCTTCATTGCATTATTTGTTGTTGATCGATGCTGGTGAGCCGGAGCATTTTGCTGAGGCTATGCAGGGAGATGAATCTATTAAGTGGGAGCTAGCAATGGAAGATGAGATAAAGTCCCTTCGGAAGAATAAAACATGGTATTTAACCAAGCTACCGGAAGGAAAGAAAGTTTTGCAAAACAGGTGGGTCTATAGGTTGAAAGAAGAACCGGATGGCGGCAAAAGATATAAGGCTAGACTCGTAGTGAAAGGGTTCCAACAAAGACAAGGAATTGACTTCACAGAAATTTTCTCTCCTGTTGTCAAGATGACTACCATCGAGTTATCTTGAGTATAGTAGGCTCGAGAAAATCTTCATTTGGAGCAGCTTAGATGTCAAAACTGCATTCTTACATGGGGATCTTGAAGAGGAAATTTTTATGACACAGCCAAAAGGTTTTGAAGTACAAGGCGGAGAAAATCTTGTATGCAAGCTTCATAAAAGTTTGTACGGATTAAAACAAGCACCGAGACAATGGTACAAGAAGTTTAATGAGTTTATGAGAAACTCAGGATTTCGCGAATGTGAAGAAGATCACTGTTGTTATGTGAAGAAATATGTTGATAGCTATATCATTCTTGCCTTATATGTTGACGACATGTTGATTGTTGGAGCTAATATGACAGAAATTGACAAGTTGAAGAAACAATTGTCGGAGAGCTTTGAAATGAAGGATCTTGGTCCAGCCAAGCAAATTCTTGGTATGAGAATCTCCCGAGATAGAGATAAAGGTATTTTGAACTTATCTCAAGAAAAATATATAGAAAAATTGCTTAGCAGATTCAATGTTGGGAATGCTAAAACCAGGAATACACCTTTGGGAACTCACTTAAAGTTTTCAAAGAGGCAATCTTCTCAAACAGAAGAAGAAGAAAGTCACATGTCTAAAGTGCCATATGCATCTGCAGGTAGGAAGCTTGATGTATGCTATGGTTTGCACCGGACTGAGACATAGCACATGCAAGTGGGAGTTGTGAGCAGATTTCTATCAAATCCCGGAAAGGAGCATTGGGAAGGAGTGAAGTGGATATTCGAGATATTTGAAAGGCACTTCAAAGATGCATTTGTCTTTCAAGAGAAGTAATCTCATTTTACAGGGGTTTTCCGATGCGGACTTGGGAGGTGATCTTGACGGTAGAAAGAGCACAACAGGTTATATTTTTACATTGGGTGGTACAGCTATCGGTTGGAAGTCTAAACTTCAAGGAAGGGTCTCTCTCTCAACCATCGAAGCGAGTATGTAGCTATCTCGAAGCGGCGAAGGAGATGATATGGTTGAAGAACCTTCTAAAAGAATTAGGAAGAGAACAAGATGGTTCTCCGTTGTTTAGTGACAGATCAAAGTGCTATTTGTCTTGCTAAAAATCCAATCCTTCATTCCAGATGTAAGCACATTGAATTGAAGTATCATTTTATCGAAACCCGATAAATGATGGAGACTTGAGTTTGTTGAAGATTCCAGGTGCAGAGAATCCCGTCGATATGTTGACCAAGACTCGTTACAACAACTAAGTTGAGGCTTTGCATTGCCTCAACTGGCCTTCGAGCAAATTGATGATGAAGGCACTATACTAGGTGGTAACGTAAATCAAACTCCAAGTGAGAGAATTGTTAGTATTATGGTGCTTGATTTAGTCCCACATCGATTAGGATTGTGAGATGAGGTTCTCTATTTTGTTATATAAGCAACCCTATGTAAAGTTTGAGATACACACAGAAATAAAAATACTTCCTAGTGTAGTCGTGGACGTAGGCATACATATTTTAGCCGA